AGGATCAGAAGGAAGGAAAAGAGGTCTTCCCCTATCAGTAGGCTTGGGAAGGGGCATGCATGCAGAGGGTGGAGGAAGGGAGGGATTGGGATGGGAGAAGGGAGGGAACCACATGGGGGATACAAAGTGAATAAAGTGTAATTAATAAAGAAAAAAATAAAAAAGAAATGCTCAACATCCCTAATCATCAGGGAAATACAAATCAAAACGACCCTGAAATTTCACCTTATACCCCTAAGAATGGCTAAGATCAAAAACTCAAGTGGCAATACATGCTGGAGAGGATGTGGAAAAAGGGAAACCCTCCTCCATTGCTGGTGGGAATGTAAACTTGTACAACCACTTTGGAAATCAATCTGGCAATTTCTCAGATAATTAGGAATAGTGCTTCCTCAAGATCCAGCTATAGCACTCCTAGGCATATATCGGAAAAATGCTCAAGGATACAAGGACATTTGCTCAACCATGTTTGTAGCACCTTTATTTGTTATAGCTGGAAAGAATTTTCTTAAATCTTTTACCTCCTTTAGTGTTTCGAGATAGGGTTTCTCTGTGTAGCTTTGGCTGTCCTGGACTGGATCTATAGACCAGGATGGGTTCAAACTCAAGAGACCCATGTGCCTCTGCCTCCTAAGTGCTGGGATTAAAGCACATGTGCTATCACTACCTGGCAGAATTTTCTAGAAATCAAAGCCGTCCCTGGAACTGCATCTCTCAACCAAAGGTCTTACCTCTTATTGCGAAACTTTGTGTGTAGGTTGCAGTAACTCCTTTTTCTAGAGATAACTAATAGCAACTGTCACTGGCTCCTGGTTTCTTCATGAGGCTTTTGTACTTTCTTTATACTTTGTGCTATTGTATATATCCCTGTGTTCTATTTGAGTGGACTACTCCTTTCCTTCTGGAACCCTCTGTTACTTACTTTTCTGCTGCTGTGATAAAAATACCATACCACTTTATGGAAAAAAAGGGTTTTCTTTGGCTTTGGATCTGGAAGGATATTCCACAGACGGTAGGATGGGGAGGGCTTGGCCGTTGGCAGGAGTGGAAGCAGGAGCAGGAAGCTGGCTGGTTGGTCACATTTTCACTCATATACAAGATGCAGGGGAAGGGGAGTAGAAAGGAGGTGAAGGAGGGAGAGAGAGGAAAGAGGGGAAGAGGGAGAAGGAAGGAAGGAGGAAGAAGAGGAAAGGGAAGAACATAGAGGAGGGGAAGGCAAAAACAGAGAGGAATGAACAGGAGGGGAAGCTTGGCAGAGGAAAACAGGAATTGAGGTGAGGTTGTAAATACTCAAAACCACCCCCAAGGTACTTCCTCCTGCAAGGATCTACCTTTGGAAGGTTCCAATACCTTCCCAAGTAATATCACAACTGGGGGTCAAATGTTCAAATACATGAGCCTAAGGAAGGCATTTCTCAGTAAATCCACAACAGACCCTAATAGCTGCTTATGTATATATAGGATATAAATAAAGCCATTTTGGTGGCCATTTTTCTTCTTGGAAATTCTGGTTTAAATTTCCTTTAAGTTAGAAATCTGATGTTTGTCTTGCATTTATAGCCAAATCTTTCTTCTTTTTCTGTTCTCTTTTGTCTCAAGTCCATTTCATCCAACCTACTACAACCCCATGGTCTCTCATAAGGACTAACAGATTCAGAACCTATCTTATATCATGGGGGGGGGTCCAGTCCCCAGGTTGACACCTAAACCACTGACTTCACCGTCTATCTTGTGGCCACTTTCTTTGTTGTCCTTGATCTCACTCTCCAGTGTCTTACTGTGTTCAAGTGATCATAAAATGAGGGCAGGTGCTAGTCACTGTCCATTTTCTGCCTGTGTTGTCACTTGCTAATTGACTGCTCTAAAATCCATCGACCTGCTTCTTAGCATTTATCCCTTTCTATTCTCCTTTCTGGAACACTGCTTCCTTGGGCTAATGTATCACCAACTAATACCTTTTCCTCCCTCAATTGCCCAAATAAACCTACTCAACCATTCAACGTGTGTTATTTAGGAAAGTGACTAGTACTGGTGAAAAAAGATGTATCAAGACACAGTAAATGAGTATCAGTCTAAATTTAAAGCCATTGACCTCAGATCTGTGCTTCGTTAACCTATGAGGTGAAAGCTTTAAATCATCTCACACCGTGCTTTCTAATTTGTAGAGACAGCAGCAGCTATCAGATGGAAACTCCAAAAGCTCTTTGCTACCTTGCCTATATATTTTCCTATTAATCTCTTCTTGAACATTTCTAAAGACTCTTTATTATTAATTTATTTTGCATGTATAGTGTGCATGTGTGGGTGTGAGTGTAGGTAGAATGTACACCATGTATGTGAAAACTCCCATAGAAGCCAGAAGAGGGCGTTAAGATTACCTGGAACTTGAGTTACATGAGGTTGTGAACTTCCTGGTGCAAGTGCTAGGAATCAAACCTAGGTCCTCTGCAAAACAGCAAGTTCTCTTAACTGCTCAGCCATCCCTCTACTTTGCTTCCTTGGCAGTTTTTGGGTCAAAATATTGTGCTCAAAGGCCCAACTCCTCCTGTCTTTCCTGAGACATGGAACATTCTATTTTCATTCTCTGCCCTGTGCCCATTGTCCTCTTCATTTTTACAGGATCTTGCATAATACAGTCCTACAACAAATGTTTGAAAATTTCTGTTTTCAACCAACTTCTTCCTCCAGCATTGCTAATATTCCTCCCTTCCCGCTCTTTTGGAGATGCTTAAATTCATATGCTAGCTCATTTCCTCATCTCCTACTCTGTTTAAGTTGGCAATATACCTCATGCATATGTATGGAACAGTTTTGACTTATGTACACATTGCAGAAAGATCCAGTCAAGCTAATTAAAACACATGACACCTCACCAAGAGGTAGGAAGCAAGTATGTTAAAAGATACATTATCAATTTACAACCATACGTTACTAAGGGTGGTTACCACAAAGAGTACTAGGTCGTGAAAACTCACCATTCTAGACTAACAGAAAATGTGTAATTTAAAAAAAAATCATCTTTTGCCCTTTCCCTGTCTCTCATCTTGACTCTGACAAACCCCTTCTCCTCTCTGTTTCTGCAAACCTTTTTAGGTTCCACACATAAGGGAGATCACACAGTATTTGTCTGATTGTGTCTAGCTTGTATAACTTAACCTCACACCTTCCAGGTTCAGTCATAATGTGAACCGCAAAACCTACTTCTTTCAACCCTGGCTAACCTTACCTGAGGTGTATGAACAACATTTTCTTTATCCAGTCACACACCGGTGGACACTTATCCACAGGTCACTTTCTGTTTTGGCAATTGTAACAGTATTGTAATGGTCATAGACAAATACCTCTTGGACATGGCGATTACAATGTATTTGGCTATATCTGAGAAGGGGGGTTGCTTGATTATATTCTAATCCTATTTTTTAGCTTGTTAGAGAATTCTCATATTATTATCTAGTATGGCTCTGACTTAGATTCCTACCAGCAATGTATAAGGGTTCTTTTTTCTTCATATTCTTGCCAACACTTGTTATAGCTATAGATTGATATAATTTGGGATGGAAACTGAGTGGCTACTGCAAGGCTAATTTTTCACTTTATGCCTGTCTATATAATTTACTGTGTTTTTGTTTAATAGGATGAGTATGAACTTCATTTTAGATTGTTTTACAAAGTGGGACTTGGGGGACTGGAGTTTTTTCCTTGTTACTATGATTATAATTTTTGTTATCATCTTGACATGACTTGTTACTTAGGAGAGACACGTCTGGGCAAGTCTGAAAGGTGTGTTCAGAAAGGTTAAGGAAGGAAGGAAGACCCACCCTGAATGTGGGAGACATCATTCCCTGGGCAATCTCGACTAAATTCAAAAGGAGAAAGAAGAAAGCAAGTTGAACAGCAACCTTCAGCTCTCTCTCTTTTTGCTAAGTATGGATGCCATGTGACCAGGGGCCTTAAGCTTGGGTGGGGTGTATTAGGATGTATCCCCTGTCAAGGGGGGAGGTTCCCCATTATGATGGGCTGTACTTCAAACTTAGAGCTAAAGCGAGCCTTTAGCTTTGTCAGCTATTTGGTCATAACAACAGAAACATTACTTCAGCAGCATCTTTATGACTGTGTCCTACCAAAAGAACCAGCGTATCCATCCTTCATTCTTTTGGGTTAGGTACGAGGTATGGTTTCATGCAGTTGACCACAAGTATGAGATGTCTGCCTTCTGGTCAGGTAGGGTTGCTTGGGAATGGAGCGTTATTAGCAGGTCATCAAATGTAATACAGAAGAGTAAGAAGCACGGATCATAAAGGATAAGGCTAGGGAGACAACCAGATGCCAGTGAGTCCCCCTATGTAAGCAGGGAAGCTTTCTGGCATTTTCATGTGGCAAGAAATCACTGCAGGTTTGGGGGCAGGAGGGGCTGTCTCTGCGCAAATACTTAAGGGATAAGGTGCAGTACTCTAACGATTGCCCAAGAAACAGGTTAGGCTTACATCACACCAGTGCAAGGGAAATGGGAGGAATTCAAGGAGTGTGTGGTGGGTGAAATCTGGAGCAGCTGAACTAGGCTGGTTGTCATCTGGGGGTCCGGTGAGAGAAGGAGAGAGTCAAAATTAGTTTGATCCAGATTCCTCAACCGAGTGTAGGGAGGTGGTGGACCGAAACCACATTAGGAATGCTGTAGCTCAGGGCAAACTGTGATGGCTGTAAAATGCATCTGGTATTGTCCTTCTGCCACTGTCTTAAAAGGGATTCTGAAGGGATTTTCTTTCCCTTGTTCCTCCAGCCCTCCACTTGCATTACTGGCCTAAGTGGATACTCCCCAGCTGGCCATGTCCATCATTACAGTCAGGTCTAAGGATTCCTGATTATACTTAGAGCTTGTGGCGCTGCAGACACAGTCACCAGCAGACAACCCTATCACAACAACCTATGCCTTAAAATGTAAACCACGGAGCATTTTCCTCGCATTGTCCAGAAGCAAACTTCATCCCGAGCCTGGATTAATCATGAGAGAGCTTGCCAACATTCCACTGTTACAGATTCTCACCCTGGTTGCCTTCAGTGGGACTGAGAAACTTCCAAAAGGTTGGTCTGTATAATTGTGTTCCCAAGAGTGTGTGAGCTTCATGGTGACCGATTCATATTATGGTGTGTTTAGGTGACTTAGGAGTGAAATGTACAGAGAAAGAGAAAATTGTATGCAGAGTGACTGTGCCGTCTCTGATGATTAAAGACAACATGATGCATGCAGAGCCCTCCCTTCTAGGGAGATGTTACTAGGTAGACTGAATTATTCAGGTTTGTTCTGTTTCTGTGGATGTCAAACATTGGAGTAGTCTAAATGGTTGATAAAAACCATTCCACACTGGGTTTGCCAAGAATATAATCTACCACACTTCCAGATAGCCAGAGTGTTTTGTTCCTGAGCAAAAGTCATTTATACTTTCAGTTTTTATTTTTATTTTTTTACCAAACTCTTAATTCATTTTAGTAACTAGCCATCGGAGCCAGGGGAAGGCACACAGAAGGTGCCTACGGATAAAAGCCCAGACACATCAGATTCTCTGTCACTTTGCTACTGGGGTCATGATTTGGGCTTGACAAGAGATTGCACTAGTATTTTTTTTCAGTGCCTTTGGAATGCACCGGAAATGACACCACCTAAGGGGGAAAGCAACTTAAGAAAGTGACAAACACCTGTTGCAGCAGCAGGAACGTCCACAGTGCTGTGGTTTCTGGCCAGAGGATTGTGAAAGTTAGAATCAGGAAGAGTGAAAAATACGTGATTTGCAAAGATTCTGGGGCTTCACTGAAACCTTTTCAAAGCAAGGCACAAAGAAGCAGACTAAATGATATCAAATAACATCACATTAAGGAAGAGTTCTGGGTTTTAGATGAATTATTTCTCATTTCTGCCAGATTGCCAAAGTACTGAAAAGGTTTATCTTGGGTAGTTAGTGAATGTGACATTTGTACTTACATGGGAAACACATCTTTAGATTTTGTAGTTCACCTACAATTCTGGAACCACAAGGTCATGGATCCCACATAACAGAGAGCGTTCTTTCTAAACTATCTGACTTTAAAGGTTTATTTGCTTAATTTCCCTTTTTCATTTTACTGGGGCAAAGTGGTTTGTATCTTCTAATGTTCTAAATCATTTGCAGCACAATGATACTTTAAGATATCTTAGATTAAAAAAAAAATCTGCACCTTTTAAAATAGCTAATAATAGCCATAGGGACTCAACATTAGCTTCAGGTTATTTTAATACTTCCTGGTCAAAACATGGATGTCCGGTCGAGCAACACCTCTGGATCCTAATAGGTCTTATTTGTTTTAATCTAGACCAACAATTGAGGAGGGTATATGTTAAACCCAGTGTGTTAAGAGCGCCACAGCTGTTATGAGTTTTAAATCACTCAGGGGAGCACAAGACAATAACAACAAAACTCCACAAAACACCTCTGTATTTATATGCTAATTTAGGTTCTGAGACAAAGGATTTTTTTTTTAAGTCCCCAACTGACCTACGCCCTCACTCAAATGCATCTGAACATCTCTATTTTGCAAACTTCAAACTGACGGCACAGGGTAGCAATACCAAATATTTTGGCTTTTAGAGAAAACCACCAGAAAAATCAATCCATTTTTTTCTTTTTTTACAGTGTATTTGTTGCAAATTTTAAAACCAAAATAATATTTCTCTTAGCCTACTCTGTTTATTGAAAAAATTGAAATTAGCATTGGGTCCATGTCGGCCTTACTCCCAAACACTACCCCTTGGTGATCCCTACACAAAATGAACTCTGAAAGTAAATAGCATTATGAAAAATGAAATCCCTAAGATTTTAAACATTGTACTACATGGCAGGTTTTTATAGAAAAGAGCCATTTGGATGTGTTGTTCTCTTAATATTGTTGATGATTATGAAGATGTCCTCGCTGAACTAGCTCACGGCAGTTCTCAGTAGCTGGTGAAAGATAATGGTGAAGAATAGGGTGTGCCTGTCTAAAGTGACTGAAATCAAGGAACCTGCACAAAATGAACAGTCCTGTTCAGTAGAGTGGGTGGGTTTAGAATGGACATTCTTAAGGATGTTTAAAGCTAGGAACGACTTAAAGAGGATTTGTTGCTCCCTCTGCACACATTTTCTTCATAAAAATTATCTGGCTTTGTGGAATAATAGCTTATTATTTCAGCTTTAAATTAATTGAAATGCCTAACATTCTGAGACCAAAAGAAGGTCATTGTCTTTCTAGATCATTTTAACTAGTGAATTTTTTTTTAATTTTTAAGTTTAATTTCCTCATCTCAAGGAAGAGACATTTAGAGATCTCCATGTATGAAAGTGTTCAACGTTTTATTGAATTCCCTCAGCCACATATTTTTAGAGCACTTGCTGGTTTATAAGGGTGTGTTAGATTTATTCTGCATGGGCAGAGGATTCACATTGGCAGAACTGGATTTGTTTAATTTGCACAGGATTTCCTCACAAAACCCCAGCTTCAAAATGACCCCACTTGCAACCAAACCTAGAGTGTTTAACGTCTAACTAAATTTCTCTTTCGATAAAGTGGAGAAGCCCTGTCTTTAAAAATCACATGTATGCAGGGATAGGATTCACAGATTCCACTTATGAGTCAGTTAGAGCTGGCACAGCTGTTCTGAACTTCATCCAGGACAGCAAGTCCTGGGTGAGTGTTTCATACTGACACACATTTCAAGTGTTACTCACTGCATGTGTGGGAACACACAGTTGCTTTATGTCATTGCCCTTGTGTGTGGAAGGAACCTGTGGCAATTTCATAATGTCCCTAAAGACACTGAGGTCTTTATAGATGTGAGGTCACTGAGGAGGGGTAAAGCGAGGCCAGCAGACTGGTCCATTCAGGAAGATGATAAGAGTCCAGTAGAGCATTAAGCTAGGGTTGCGGACAGCAGTTAAAGAGTGACTCAGACATGAAAAATTGTTTTCCCGTGTCCAGCAAGCACTGTGGGAACATAGGAGTAGGGAGGGCAGAGGTTCAGATTAATGTTCAAATTGATGTTTTTCAGGGCTCATGCAGCTGAAGCACATGAGGGGTTATATGAACAATACCAAATGCTAGCAGCCAGACAATGAAGAATGTGAAATAAGGATATTGAAGGCTTGAGTGGGTGTTACAGTTAATTTCTCCTTTCCTGTCCTTACCATCTTGCTGTATATGTTTAAAGAAAGCACATAGTCTCTGCCTTGGGTTCCTCACAGAATGAAGCAGTGCCATTATCTAGAGTTACACCATGACTACTTATGATTGCTATGATGGGAATAAGTAGTATGCTTTACCTGGGTCTTTACAGGACTGTGGCTTAACCGAAAGGAACACCTCCAAGGGATACAAACTCAGACATTCTTAAAATGTACACAGATGTACCACAATTTCCCATCACACAGCAATCATGGGTAGTCACGGTATGACTCTGCACAGATGTAGCCCATGGCAGTTCAATGTCCAAGTGGGTTTCATAGTAATGGGAACAGGGACTGTCTCTGACATGAACTGATTGGCCTGCTCTTTGATCACCTCCCCCTGAGGGAGGAGCCTTACCAGGCCACAGAGTAAGACAATGCAGCCACTCCTTATGAGACCTAATAGACTAGGATCAGAAGGAAGGAAAGAAGACCTCTCCTATCAGTGGACTTGGGGAGGGGCATTCATGGAGAAGGGGAAGGGAGGGAAGGGTTAGGAGGGGAAGAGGGAAGGAGCTAGCTACAGGGGGAATACAAAGTGAATAAAGTGTAATCAATAAAAAAAATTTTTAAAAAGGTACATAGAACTCCTGTGAAAATCCATTCCTGATGGGAAAAACCGAGAGTGCATTCAGTTTTGAAGAATTAATGACACAGCTTCAAAAATGGTTGAGTGTCATTACAGGTTAATCTAACAAGTTACAAAGATATCATGACAAAATTTTTATTTCAATACAATTAAATGAGCCAGCTATTCGGTCTGATATTACCTGTTATTCTCTTTGGAGAATCTGAAAACTTTCCAATATCAAAGTGTTTCCTTAGACTGAAAAAAACAACTAATGCTATTTTGCTAATAATTAGAAAAAAAACATGGATTTTAAGGTCTCAGAATTCGTTTTCTTTTAAAAAAACAATGCACCTGGCTTCTTTGCACGCACCTGGCTTCTTTGCACTTTGACACATCTATCAGTAATGGTTCAACCAGAAGTCAGTGTGTCAGTGTCCTGTTCTAAAGCCCATAAAAGACAAAGGAGGGTAGTATCACACCTTACTCATCAACAGCTAGAATCCAAGTTAAGGTTTCTGTGGATCCAAAAAGTGCTGTGTTCATCCTCATGTGTTCATTCTTCATGTGGTTCTTGGATCAGGAGAGGAGACAGAGCTCCAGCTTAAACGGGCTCTGGCTGGGATGAAAGCTGGGTGAAGGAGGTGAGTAAACAGGAAGAGACCTGATGGATCACCCATGCCTTTCAACACAGCTATGTGATCAGTGACCATTCAAAGGGAATTTGGAGAGCTCTGGAAGATAGGCAAAGTGGATCTAAAAATTATATTCTGTTTTCAGAAATTAATATTGATTAATAATATTTAAGCCTCCCATTTTTTGTGCATAACCATGACTATAAGACACTGTCCACCTTAGAGTTCAGAGATAGATTCCTTCTCCCTCTCTCTCTGTGTTGTCATGTGTAAGTATCAATATGTGCAAGCCTAGGCATGTTTGGAGAGATCTCTCATTTGCCACTGTGTTAGCTGGCCTGCAAATTTCCAGGGATTCTCCTGTCTCCACCTGCCATCTCCCCATAGCAACACTAGGATTACAGACTCACTTGCTACAATGCTCAGCTTTATGTTTGTTCTGGAAATCTGAATTTGTTTCCCCATGCCGCACATCAAGGACTTTACCCACTGAGCCATCTCTCCAGGACCAAGACATTGGACCCCTTAGCCAACCTTAATCCTGAAATTCATCTCCAACCCTTGCTACTTTTGCAATAGTTTCAAAAATTATTTAACTATCTAAGTATAGTTAAATAGCCCTTGTCTCATTTACAGATGCTTAATTGTATTTAACTCTTTTTGTTTTGATAAATAAAATAATAAAGGTGAAGCATCAGACGGGGCACAAAGAATTTTCTTGAACAATTTTATAGTCAGATGCCACCCAAAACTGTCATATCACTGAACATTGTGGGAAGGTATCATCATGATACTGCTCTAAGTGACACTTCATGTGTTTCTCTATGTCTAAGATTTTCAAATTTTGCTGGGTCTGGCTTACTTCTTTGATCTTAATTGTTCTTAGAGGAATGTATGTCATTATTCTGTCTGCTTTTCTGTCTATGTGGAGTAAAAAGAAATGGATAGTTAAAGCTTATTTATTTATTTATTTTTAGTTTTATAACAGTGTTTATTTTTAATTTTTATTAATTAAAATTTATTAATTTTTATCCTCCCTGTAGCTCCCTCCTTCCTCCCCTACCAATCCCACCCTCCCTCTTCTTCTCCACCCATACCCCTCTCCCAGTCCACTGATACTCCAACCAAGGACCATTCATGGAGATAACCTAGAACCCCTGCACAGATGTAGCCCATGGCAGTTCAGTGTCCAAGTGGGTTGCATAGTAATGGGCACAGGGACTGTCTCTAACATGAACTGATTGGTCTGCTCTCTGATCACCTCCCCCTGACGGGGGAGCAGCCTTGACCAGGCCACAAAGGAACACAATGTAGCCACTCCTGATGAGAAATGATAGACTAAGATCAGAAGAAAGGGGAGGATAAAGTTTATTTTTAAAACAGAAATTATACTTGGGCATAGTGGATGATATCTTTGATGTGTTCTTGGATTCAATTTGCGAGTATTTTGTTAAGTATTTTTGCATCAATATTCATAAGGGAGATTGGCCTGAAATTCTCTTGCTTTGTTGGGTCTTTGTGAGGTTTAGGTACCAAGGTGACTGTGGCTTCATAGAATGAGTTTGGTAGTGTTTCTTCTGTTTCTATCTTGTGGAATAGTTTGAAGAGTATTGGTGTTAGCTCTTCTTTGAAGGTCTGGTAGAATTCTGTGCTGAAACCATCTGGCCAGGGCCTTTTTTTGTATGGGAGACTTTTGATGACAGCTTCTGTTTCTTTAGGGGATATAGGACTATTTAATTGATTTACCTTGTCTTAATTCAGCCTTGGTATGTCGAATCAATCAAAAAAAGTGTCCATTTCATTTAGATTTTCAAATTTTGTGGCATATAGACTTTTGAAGTAAGACCTAAGCACTACCTCAATATCCAACTATACCACTCCCGGGTATACACCCAAAAGATGCCCCACTATTCAATAAGAACATTTGCTCAACTATGTTCATAGTAGCTTTATCTGTAGTAGCCAGACTCTGGAAACAACCTAGATGTTCCTCAATGGAGGAATGGTTACAGAAATTGTGGTATATCTATACAATGGAATAAACTCAGAAATTAAAAACAAGGAAATCATGAAAGTTGCTGGCAAATGGAACTAGAAGAGATCATCCTGAATGAGGTACCCAGAAACAGAAAGAAACATAACACTCTCTATTAAGCAGATATAGCATATAATATAGGACAGCCATCTACAGACCTGAAGAAGCTAAACACTAAGGAGGACCATAATGAGGATACTTAAATCTCATTCAGAATAGCAAACAAGATAGTCACCAGAAGTAGTAAAAGATAGGAAATAAGATGGGATTCAACTATAGAGAGTCCTCTGAAAGGATTTACCCAACAGGGGATGGAAGCACATGCTGAGACACAGGGCCAAATTTTGGGCAAAATGCAGGGATTCTTATGGAGGAAGAGAGGGGTAGGATTCGAGGGATATGGAAGGGACAGGAGACCCACAAGGAGACGAACAAAACTAAAAGATCTGAAACCAGGTGGTCCTGCAGCGACTGATGCACCAACAGAGGGCCATGCATGGAGAGGACCTAAACCCTCTGCTCAGATGTGGCCGACTGGCAGCTCAGTCTCCATGTGGATCGATGAATGAGGGGAGCAGGTCCTGCCTCCATCATAAGCTCAGTTGACTGCTCTCTGATCACTTGTTCCTGATGACGCAGCCTTGCCAGACCACGGAGGAAGAGCATCCAAGCAGTGCTGATGACTATGGTCAGATAGCAATAAGGAAGAGGATGAGGGGAAGAGGAAGGGTAGGTGAGACTAGGGGAGTTGTGGGAAGAAGCTTCAGTCCGGATATATAATGAATAAACTGTGAAAAAAAAGAAAAAAAACCCCAGAAATTATACATGATAGCTAAGATTTATTTTGAAAAGACATAGCTGATAAACAAAACAGAAAAACTACTTCTACCTCTGAGACTGTTGGCTTGCCACATTTTTTTTTCTGTGTCACGGCTGCCTGACATGTTTTCCTTTAACAAAACCCTGAACACATTTTGTGTTGTTGTTGTTATTGACATCTGTCAAAGCACTATTGGTAATAATCACATCCTGTCCTATGTATCAGACAGTGCACTGAAATTTATTTACCATCCATCTTTCTGGGAGAAAAAGAAAACCCTCTCTGATTTGTTCTCTTCCTGCAGTAGAAAAAGATTCTAAGCCACATCCAGTTTCAAATGACCAGCAAATCCTGGAAGCAGCGTCAAGAAACAGCATGCACAGTTCAGCATGCTGTGTGTGACAGTTGTGGGCAGTGTTTACCACCAAAGTAACCCCAGAACATAGATACAGTATAGTTAAAAAGCAAGTGATGGTTTGGGGGAGGGTGTCCATGTGTCTTCCTCACTTGCTCTTCTCCTTATTGCTTGAGATATGCTGAATCTGTAGCTCACTCCTAATTCACCTAGAACGCTGGCCACTAAGTCTCAGGGAGTCTCCTGTCTCTGGCTCCCTGCTGTTGGGATTATAGGCATGTGTTCTGCGTCCAGCTGTTTCACATAGATCCCAGGGGACTGAACTCAAGCCATCTTTCTAGCTTAGAAGTGGTGAATTTGTAAACATTGCTAATATTGAGCATTAATATAACTTAACTATAAAGTTATGCAACTTAATCTATCAATAACAGCCATTTAACAATGACAAAATTCCCGGAAAAATAAAAAAAGAACATTTTTGTAAGTGCAAATCTTTTTGTATGCTCCAGCAGACCATAGCGAGAATTCGAAGCTACCCACTTACCTCACTTTTTCAATTAGTGTAGCTGAGCACAGTTCAAATGTACCTTTCTCTGTGTGTGATTGTTCATTTATAATAGGTTCTTGAGTATCGATAACTACTTAAAAATTATTCTATTGTATTAATGACTACTTAAAATTATTTTGTGGGGCTGGGGGAATGGCTCAGCAGTTAAGAGCACTTGCTGCTATTCTAGAGGAACTTTATAAATAGAATCTTGTAACATGATCTTTTGTGCCTTATTTTTGTATACTTTTTTTGTTTCCATGTTTCCTCCATGTTGTAGAATATAACACTTCCCTTATTTTTATCACCAAATAATATTCCATTGTATATGTATATTAATTTTATCTATCTGTTGGTGGGCATATAGGTTGCTTTCATCTTTTGGCTATTATGAATAGTGCTATTATAAATAAAGATGTACAAATATTTGTATATTTGAGTCTCTGCTTTTAGTTCTCTTAAATATGTGCCTGGAAGTAAAACTGTTGATCACAATTCTCTTTTTCTTTCTGAGGAACCTCCATACTCATTTCCCCAGTGACCACCATTTTAATTCCTACCCACAATGCACAGGGCTCTAGGCTATCAACATTTTCACCAATGTTTATTAATTTTTTAATCTTTATAGCCACCTCAATGAGTATAGTTTTGATTTACATTTTCATTTCTTTTAAAAGTTTTGCTTGTGTGCTTTTGTGTGACTTCATGCATATTTGCACATCTTCACACAAGTGTGTGGAAGTCATAGGCTGACAGGAGGTGTCTCCTGTAGTCTCTTGCTGACTCAGCTAGTCTAGACAGCCAAGAACCTCCTGTCTCCTCTGGAGTGCTGACATTATAGACAGGTCATTCCATGCCTAGGGGACTTTTGAACAGTAATATTCATTCAGGTATGTCATAGCTTCCGGCTGCTGGAGAACAAGTAATAAATGACATTCTGGAAAGTTCTCTGTTGTTTCTGCTCTGTTTAGCTCCTGTCATCACCACGCCTCTTGAAACTGTCGATGCCTTAGTTGAAGAAGTAGCAACTTTCATGTGTGCCGTGGAATCCTACCCTCAGCCCGAGATTTCTTGGACCAGAAATAAAATTCTCATTAAGTAAGTATTCTGTCTCATTCTAAGTATCTTTATGCTAAGGATGCCTGCTCTGTCTTCTAGTTTCTCATCCACAGATATACACCTATACTATTGTAGCACTAAAGGTCACCTTCTAGAATATGTAAAGTGAAAATATATTCATTTTGTAAATGGAAGGTCTGAAGTGCCGGGCAACTGACTTATCTGACAAGGGGAAAAACAGATGAGAATCTTGAAGCTTTCTTAGAAATTAGGAAGCACCATGGTATTGTAAGTATGCAGGCACGTGTTTCAGAACACACAGAGGATCTGAGTATCCAACCTGTCCTCCCTGTGTGTCCCTAAACTATAAGGTTGTCTAGAAATCTGATTTCTAGTCACTGTCATATTTTTCTTTCAAAACAAGACATTCTCAAATGGATAAAAGTCCCATTTGGCAGACAAAGGTCTGGACTTTTCTTCCTTTGTTACAATAGTTATCTCACCAAAAAATATTTCTTAAAAAATCTGAAACAAAGTGAGCCAGACAGCTCTCTAGCAGGCAGTGTAGATTGCACTGAGGCTGAATGTTCTTAGTCCACATGGGCTACTGTGATAGAATTGCTGAGACTGGGTGACTTATAAATAGCAGGAATTATTTCTCACAGCTTTGGGCGATGAGGAGTCCCAAATACAAGAAGACATCATTCTGTGACCAAGGGATGGGGGCTTACTTTTTTGTTGTTGTTGTTCACAGATGACCATTTTCCCCCACTGTCTATTATCTGAGGGAAGGGCATGAAGGAGCTGTCATAGCTTTCTTCTCTAGGGACACATGAACTTGGAGGGAGAAAGGACATGCATATTTCCATTGCCTCTGACTGAAATGGCATGTTTCCTTCTTGTGACACACATTCTGAAGTGCTGTGGAGAATCACTGTGTGCTACAGCCTTCATGATCTCTGCTAGGCAGCTCTCTCAGAAGCTCCAGGCCAGGATAGCTCACAAACAGTTCAGAGACTGGAAAACATCATCAACATCATTTGCAATTTGGATAGGTTGAGAAGTTTCCAACTCATGAAGCCTGAATTTCTGTTTTTACTTGGCAGTACTTTTTCTTCTTTTATGAACAGCCTTTGAAAGATTTGTTTTAGTTTTATTTTGTGTGTATGAGCCTGTACATACACCCTGTGCATGCCTGGTGCCCAAGGGGTCTAGAAGAGGGTACTGGATTCCCTGGAATTGGAGTTACAGATTGTTGTGGGTTCTGGGAATAAAACCAAATCAGGTCCTCTGCAAGAGCAGCCAGTACACTTACTTAATCACGGAGTCAGCTTCCCAGCCCCAACAGTATTTCAAGTTATCTTTCTCCTCTTGAATTTTACTACAAACTTCCAAAGTACACCAGATTGTAACTTCAACACTGTGTCTGGAATTTTCTTGGCTAATTGTGAGTCTATTAACCTAAACCCCAAATAAGTATGAGGCATCATTTAGCTGAACTCTCTGCCATTGTTTGGGAAAGTTCACCTTTCCTTCATTTTTTCAGGTAAAGTCTTAGCCTCCACAAGTAGTGGCCTTAACATTTCTACTTTTTATCAACAGTCCCTTCAAGTCAACTAACTGTCAGTTAATGATAATGTAGACATTTACTAAGATGACTTAGCATTCCCCTACTAAGTTTCTTAGCTCTTTTAAGACTCTAGTAGCTATCACTAACAGGCATGTTTCTGCTAACAAGAAATGTCCTCAAGAAACGTAGTGTTTGATTTTTTTTTTCTCATCATGCTTCTCAAAACTCTGCCAATTCAGCCCTAGCTGCCTAACTGCAAAGCCATGCTTCCATTTTCTGGTATTTGTCCCAACAGCACCATGATTTCAGGTACCAACACCTGTATTTATTTTCTACTGTGACTGTCACACGTGGTCACAAATGTAGTGACTTCAAACAACACACCCTTATTAGTTATAGTTCCAGGGTTGTGACTGTGATGGAATCTCACTGAGTGAAAACACCCCTCTTGCAGCCCTCTCCAACATTCAATGGCTCAGTCATCTCACCTTTCAGTCCAGAGGCCACCTGCATTCTCTGCCCTTCCTCTGTGACTCTGTTCTGTGACTCTGATCCTTGCCTGTACATCAGACCTCCTCATCCGACTCTTCTTCTCTTTTCCACCTTTAAAGAATCTTCTTTGTATGCTCAAGGGTATAACAAGGACATTTACTCAACCATATTCATAGCAGCTTTATTTGTAATAGCCAGAATCTGGAAACAACACAGATATCCCTCAGTTGAAGAATGGATACAGAAATTGTGGTACATCTACACAATGGAATACTACTCAACAATTAAAAACAAGGAAATCATGAAATTTGGATGCAAATGGTGGGAAATAGAAAAAATCATCCTGAGTGATGTATCCCAGAAGCAGAAAGACACACATGGTATATACTCACTAATATGTGGATATTAGACATATAATATAGGATAATCATACTACAATCTGTACATCTAAAGAAGCTAATCAAGAAAGGTAAGATGATCAATCATAATTCAGAAAGGCAAATGGGATAGACATCAGAAGATGAGAAAACAGAAAACAGGACAGGAGCTTACCACAGAGGGACTCTGAAAGATTCTACCCTGCATGGTATCAAAGCAGAGGGTGAGACTCATAGCCAAACTGGGCAGAGTGCAGGGAAACTTATGAAAGAAGGGAGAGATAGAAAGACCTGGAGAGGACAGGAGCTCCACAAGGAGAGAAAAAATTGGGGCACAGGAATCTTTTCTGAGACTCATACTCTAACCAAAGACCATTCATGGAGACAAGCTAGAACCCCTGCACAGATGTATCCCATGGCAGCTCAGTGTCCAAATGGGTGCCCTAGTAATGGGAACAGGGACTGTCTCTGATATGAACTCAGTGGCCTTCTCTTTTATCACCTCCTTCTGAGGGGGAAGCAGCCTTAACAGGCCACAGAGGAAGACAGTGCAGCCACTCCTGATGAGACTTTATTGACTATGATCAGATAGAAGGGGAGGAGGACCTCCCCTATCAATGGACTGGGGGAAGGACATGGGTGGAGAAGAGGTAGGGAGGTTGGGTTTGGGAGGGGCTGAGGGTGGGGGCTACAGTTGGGATACAAAGTGAATAAACTGTAATTAATAAAAAATTAATTAAATAAAAAAGAATCTGTCATCACATTTGTCCCGTGTGGATAACCTACAATGTTCCGTGAGCTGTCCCAGAAGCAGAAAGACACACACAGTATATACTCACTCATATAGACATGTAATATAGGATAAACCTGCTAAAATCTGTACATCTAAAGAAACTAATCAAGAGAGAGGACCCTGACTAAAATACTCAATCCCCATCCTGAAAGGCAAAGAGGAAGGACATCAGAAGAAAACAGGAAACAAGCTAGAAACCTGCCATCAGATGCTGAGACTTATGGCCACCTGTTGGGCAATGTGCATGGAATCTTATGTAAGAAGTGGGAAATAGTAAGATCTGGAGAGGACAGGAACTCCACAAGGAGAGCAACAGAACCAGAAATTTGAACACAGGGGTCTTCCCAGAGACTCATACTCCAACCAAGTACCATGGATGGAGATAACCTAGAACCCCTGCACAGATGTAGCCCATGGCAGTTTAGTGTCCAAGTGGGTTACATAGTAATGAGAAGAGGGACTGCCTCTGACATAATCTGATTGGCCTGTTCTTTGATCTCCTCCCCCTGAGGGGGGGAGCAGTCTTACCAGACCACAGAAGATGACAATGCAGCCACTCCTGATGTGATCTGATAGACTAGGATCAGGAGGAAGGAGAAGAGGACCTCACCTACCAGTGGACTTGGGGAGGGGCATGCATGAAGAAGGGGGAGGAAGGGTAGGATTGGGAGGGGAGGAGGGAGGGGCTTATGGGGGGATACAAAGTGAACAAAGTGTAATTAATAAGAAAGAAGAGAGATTAAAAAAAAGATTCTGAATATGCTCAGATAGCTCTTGCAGTGCACCCCAGGCTCTGATGATTAAGACGAGGGTCTTTGGAGACAGTCATTCTGTGTAACATATGCATTTGATATTGAGAATCTCTACTATAAAATGAACAATAGAAAAATCCAACCACAGAAACTACTTGATTTTACGTTGATGATTCCTCTAAACTTTCTGTTTCCCTAAGTCCCTTCTCAGTGGGCAATTGTGTGTAATTAAATAGACTATGCATGTGCACACACATTATGATTTTATTAGTTGAAGCTCTTTTATTTCCTTATGCATCTCAAGCCACCGGCAGAGAAGTACCTGTCACTTTTTAGACATGTTACTTAGTTTATAAAAAGGAAAGAACTAAGGTTTTGGAGAGGAAAGTGGGGACGGAGGGCTGGGGAAAGAAAAATAAGAGATACGTATAATCAAAGCTTATTATATCTGTGTGGAAATGTCATACTGAAACTTTATTTTGTATCAATAACATGTTTAGAAAGCTCAAAGAACGGAACTTACAGGCACAAATATAATGGTTGCAGTTCTGTTTAAGCTATTTAATCAGCCATTAACAGTTTCAAAAAATAAAAATAAGATTCTGTTAAATTTTATTTAGTTACTTATAAAATCATTGCTCATATTCACATTTATAAAACATGCTACAATATTCATGATTATTCAATAATATTAGAATTAAGAGGAAGGGAGATTTGGCTCAGCATTAAGAACACTGGCTGCTCTTCCAGAGGACCCTTGTTTGATTCCTAGCAACTACATGCCACTCACAACTGTCTGTAATCTAGCTCAAGGGGATTCAACACCTTCTTCTGGCCTCCAATAGGCACCAGGTCTGGTGTAGTACACAGAAATAACGTGGAAAAAACACCCATACACATAAAATACAAAAAGGTAAAAAAATCATAATAAGAATGAAAAGTACTTATTTAATGAATTACTGAATATTCAATTAATTGTTGTTGTTGTCTATGAATATCAACAGTTCTTTCTGTTCATTACACTTATACATGCACTCATTTCCAGTTTGTTCCTTGAGGGAAAAGATTCACAAATATTATTTATATCATATTTCCCTGGGATTAGGGGAATTTTTTAATTATTTAATTTTTTATTAATTACAGTTTATTCACTTTGTATCCCAGCTGCAGCCCCACCCTCATCCCCTCCCAATCCCATCCTTTCCCCCTCATCTCCTTCTATTCCCCTCCCCAAGCCCACTGATAAGAGAGGTCCTTCTCCTCTTCACTCTGACCCTAGTTTATCAGGTCTCATCAGGACTGGCTGCATTGTCCTCCTCTGTGGCTTGGTAAGGCTGCTCCCCCCCACAAGGGGAGGTGATCAAAGAGTCTGCCACTGAGTTCATGTCAGAGACAGTTCCTGTTCACATTACTAGGGAACCCACTTCTTGGACACTGAGCTGCCATGGGCTACATCTGTGCAGGGTTCTAGGTTATCCCATGAATAGTCCTTGGCTGGAGAATCAGCCTCAGAAAAGACCTCTGTGCCCAGATATTTTTCTTTTGTTGCTCCCCTTGCGGAGTTCCATGTGTGTCTTTCTGCTTCTGGGATACTTGACTCAAGACGATCTTTTCTACCTCCCACCATTTGCCTGCAAATTTCATGATTTCCTTGTTTTTAATTGCTGAGTAGTATTCCATTGTGTAAATGTACTACAATTTCTGTATTCATTCCTCAGTTGAGGGACATCTGGATTGTTTCCTGATTCTGGCTATTGCTAACAAAGTTGTGACAAACATGGTTGGGCAAATGTCCTTGTTGTATAGTTGAGCATATTTTGGATATATTCCTAGGAGTGGTATAGCTGGATCTTGAGGTTGCACTATTCTATTTCTAATTGTCTGAAAAAGTGCCAGATTGATTCCTCTTTCTCCACATCCTCTCCAGCATGTATTGTCTATTGAGTTTTTGATCTTAGCCATTCTGATGGGTGTAAGGTGAAATCTCAGGGTCATTTTGATTTGCATTTCCCTGATGACTAAGGATATTGAACATTTTTTAAAGTGTTTACCATTTGATATTCCTCTATTGAGAATTCTCTGTTTAGGTCTGTACCCCATTTTTTAATTGGAATACTTGATTGGTTGCTTTTTAACTTCTTGAGTTCATTATATATTCTGGATATCAGCCCTCTGTCAGATATAGTTGTAATCCTGCCTTTAGGGAGGCAGAGACAGGCAGATCCCTGGAGCTTGCTGGACAGACAACCTTGCATACTTTTTAAGTTCAAAATGGCATGCAAATGCACACTTTCCTGTGTAAATGTTACACTTGCTCCTAGCAGCAGCCATCACCTCATAGAATTATTTAGTACAAGTCAGTGATGCTTTGATTATGGATCCCAGAAAGATCAGAATGTAGAATTTTGCATACTAAGTAAGGCTATTAAACTCCTCAAAACTCATTTTTTTTTTCTAAACTTTTTTTCTGCTTCCTCACTGACTGGTCATTTATTTGGTTCATTAATCAAAGACAAGTGTTTTGTGTGTGTGTGTTTATATGTGTGTGAGAGTGTGTGTGTTTGTATGTAGGTGTGTATGTGTATGTAGTATGGATATATGTGTGTTTATGTATTTATGTGTGGTGCATGTATGTATACGTGTGTGTGTAAAGTCGCAGATGGTGCACTGACCCTCCACTCTCCTCTGTGATCTGCAGGCTGTTTGACACCCGCTACAGCATCCGGGAGAATGGTCAGCTCCTCACCATCCTGAGCGTGGAAGACAGTGATGATGGCATCTATTGCTGCATAGCCAACAACGGAGTGGGAGGAGCTGTGGAGAGTTGTGGCGCCCTGCAAGTGAAGATGAGTGAGTAGAGAAGAGCATCATCTGCCAAGGACCAGCCTCAGGCAGTGGGGGTCTCTGTGTTGGGAGGATTGGATTGCTGCAAGAGAGAATCGCTTTACACAGGGGAGTGGGTACAAGCTTTTCCCCAAAGACCCACAGATGAGAATAAACAGATTAAAGCAAGCTGTACTCTTTATACATGGTACAGTGATTACATCACAAGCAAGCAAGCATATTTAATCATTCACTCAGTGCTTTTTCTCAGACAAACCTCCATATCATAGGCTATCTGGGCAAAATCTTGTGGTTACAATAAGTGGCATAAGAACAAAGAGTACTAAACAAACTCGACTATTCCTTTTTAAAAAAATTCTTTATTAATTACACTTTATTCACTTTGTATTCCCCCTATGATTCCCTCCCTCCTCCTGTCCCAATTCCTTCCTTCCTCTACCCTCTGCATGCATGCCCCTGCCCAAGTCTACTGATAGGGGAGGTCTTCTTTTCCTTCCTGCTGATCCTAGTCAATTAGGTCTCATCAGGAGTGGCTCTATTCTTAATTCTCAGCTGCTGCTTGTAGCTGCACAAGTTCTTTCTGAGCTCTTTCTAAACATCTTTTGAAATAACTGTTATCATTCAGATGGTCTCTAGCCCCTTCCTCATAAACTATACACAGCTCCTGTAATCTCCTAATCTATGTCTTTGTGACCAAGTCTTTCTAGAAAAGGAAGTAGAAAAGGAAGTCAGTATGAGTCCAGTAGCTTCTCTAGGGTCTAATTCTTTTCTGACTGCAGCAATCTGGGGCCTGAGTGTGGAAACTCAAAGAATTCCTGATATTGTTTGATATCCATGAGCTGACTTAAGTTTTTCAATGAACAATTAACACAAAAAGCCTCTATGGATTCAATTTCTTGTTCAGATATTCAGGCTTCACTGCCTTTACAGCCAAAAGCAATGCTTCATCCATACTGGTTGTTCCTGAGCCATTTCCTTTTCCCCCAGTTGCACTGACTAAGGTTGAACTAGAGGAAAAAGACAGAGTTGCAGTAAGAAACAACGCAAGCAGACATATAAAGAAAAGCTGTGCCATTTGTGGACTGGTAATTCAGAAATGTTTTCTCCAGGGCGACAATTCTCCAGCAGCCAGAACTGTGTCAAGCAGCTGCTTCCACAACCGTGTCTTACCTGACAATCATTGATTTTAAAGTTGTCTCCACACAATTTATAACAGTTGTTAACAGAGTACTCTGTAACCTAACATTCAGCAGTGAACCAAGTTCAAGCACAAAATACAACCTCCAGGGCCAACTTGTTCCAAATCCCCTATTCCTGTCACAGTTACACCCTAAGGCAGTCCTTTAGATCTCCCTTCTTTCCTACTTGTTTTTGACCTCACACAGCTCTTGGTTACATTTGGGAACTTACTTCTGAAAACATTATGCATTTCTTAAAGAGTCACTTTTATTTTTGTTTGTGTTTGTGTGTGTGTGTGTGTGTGTGTGTGTGTGTGTATGATGTATGTGTTCAGGTATCCACAGAGACCAGAAGAAGGCTTCAGATCCTTTGGAGCTGGAGTTATGGGTGGTTGTGTGCCACCGGATGTGGATGTTAGAAACCAAACACTGGTCTTCTGGAAAGGCAAATGGTGCTCTTAACTGAAGAGCCACCTCTCCAGCTCTTTACTGTACATTTAAAGGCACCATTCCACCACAGTCAATCACCCTGCTTAAATCTCTCCTCTTTTGGAATGCATTTTCACTTCTTTGCTTTATTTAAAGTTATTTTCTTCTGAGTGGCTTCCTACTTAAATGGAGGTTGTTCTGGTTTCTCCACCTCATTACTGGGAGCAAATCTCCTATCCCTTGTTGCCAACCTTTAAGACATTATTCTTGTATCCCTGTGCAAACTTTTCTCCCATGGAAACTATGATCATCTCTTCTCTAAGTCCATCAAGCACTTGCTCCTAGACACTCTCATACTTATTAGAGACTCTGATTCCATTCTTCGTATTTTTCTGTTGTCTTTGTCTGTCATTATCCCAGAGGGTTTTAATAGAATCACCGGTTACTTCATCTTTACAAGTTCTCACCATGAAAAACTCCACTGCTGTATATCTGAACTCTTTGTCAGTCTGCCCAGTTGAGGATCCATATTTGGCCTTGCCACTCATTGGCAGTGGACCAGATTCAAAGCTATCCATGCCAATATGCCACTTTCTGATTGTGAACACTTTTGCCCAGCTTCAGTGGATGTGGAAAACTTTCCCACACTCATGACTTGCCTCTGTGGAGTAGGCACAAGCTTGTTAGTCTATTTGCAGATCAGAGTCGTGTCATCACGCTCTAGTCTTATGAGACCTTGCCTTGCAGGAGCCTGCTGTTTGCAACACTCTCAACCCTACAATAATGCAAACTTTACATTCTCATTACTAATGAGAAAAAAATCATATAAGCATACATGTTGCCACCTAATAGAATTGGAATATTTTTGGATTTAGGTCTTCATTTCCCCCTTGTTATTTATTACTTTGTTCTGTTCTCTTATTGGAAGAATTCAGTATGTGCTTTTTTTCAGAGTGTAAATAAGATATTTTCTGATTCTATACAGTAATGAAAGTCTTCACTTTGTCTTTCAGTTGGATAGAAAATTTGCTAGATATATCCAAAGCCTTAGTTTCTTCTTTCAGCTTTCAGGGAGAAAATCCTGAGTTGACACACAACACTATGTTGTAGATGGAAATTCTTTTTATTTCGTTACAAGTAAATCTCAGATTTACCTATTTTAGAATTCTAGTATTTTCTGTTTATTTCCAGAGTTCACAAATCCTGCAAATTCACCAGAATATGTGTTTCTTTTCTCATTCCTGCTCTACTTTAGTCCCTTTTATACCTAGAAACTAAAGGTGTTTAGTTTTTTTTTTTTTTCAAAATGAAGCATATTTCTTCCTATCAATTCTCTTTCTTTTTATCTGTCATTTTATTTTTCACATTCAACAAATATCAGATCTCCTTTTCTGGTACTCATGGTTTTTTCATATTCTCTACATCTCTTGATGTCCTCTTTGCTCAGACATTTCTTTTTCTTTTTAATTAATTGATCCATTGATTTACTTTACTACAGTTTCTCCTTCCTTTTCTTTCCAAGCTTTTTCCACTCACCTCCCCCTGCCTTAACCACTCTTCCTCCCTTTCCATTTAGAAAAGGGGAGGCCTCTTTTATCAACCAGCCTTGGCATATAAAGTTACAGTAAGACTAGGAGCATGTTCTCTTATTGGGACTAGATGAGGCATCCCATTTAGGGAAAAGGGCCCAAAGTCAACCAACAGAGTCAGAAACAGCTCCTGGATCTACTGTTAAGAGACCTACATGAAGACCAAGCTACACAAGTGTTACATATGAGCAGATGGCCAAGGTCAGGCCCATACATGCTTTCTGGTTGGTGATTCAGTCTCTGTGAGCCCCTATGGGTCAAGGTGAGTTTGATTCTATTGGTTTTCTTGAGGTGTCCTTGACCCCTCTTGCTCCTACAATTCTTCCCCGTCTTCTGCAGGATTCCCTAACCTCTGCCTAATGTTTGGCTGTGGGTCTCAGCATCTGTTTCCATCAGTTGCTGGGTGAAGTCTCTCTGTTGATGGCCATGCTAGGCTCCTGTCTGCAAGTATAATAGGAAATCTTTAACAGTGTTAGGTGTGGGCTTCCTCTCGTGGCATGGATTTCAAGCTGGACCAGTCATTGGTTGGCCATTCCCTCAATTTCTGCTCCATCTTTACCCCTGCACATCTGGTAGGCAGGACAAATTGTAGTTGAAGGCTTTGTGGCCGTGTTGGTGTCATAATCCCTCTATTGGAAGTCTTTCCTGGTTACAGGAGATGGCCTGTTCAGGCTCCATATCTCACACTGCTAGGAGCTTAGCTAGGGTCATCCTGATAGATTCCTGGGAGTTTCCATTGTCCTAGTTTTCTAGCTTGTCCCTGATATGGTCCACTCTCCACACCCTATTCCAGTTGTCTCTCCCAGTACTCTCTCCATCTTCCCACAATCTGATCCTTCCTCTTCCTATCCCCACCCCTAACTCATCCAGTCCTCTCCCTGCCCCATTCACCCACAATTCTATTGCAATTCTATTGCCCCTTCTGAATGAAATTCAAGTGTCCCCCTTTGAGTTCTCATTATTTAGCTTCTTTGGGATTGTAGCATGGTTATTCTTTACTTTAAGGCTATCCTTAATATCCACTTATGAGTACGTGCCATATTTGTCTTTCTGGATTTGGGTTACCTCACTCAGTATGATCTTTTCTAGTTCCATCCATTGCCTGCAAATTTCATGATGTCATTGTTTTTAATAGCTGAGTAATACTCCATTGCGTAAATGTACATTTTTTTCTATCTAATCTTCAGTTGAGGAACATCTAGGTTGTTTCCAGTTTCTGCTATTAGGAATAAAGCTGCTATGAACATAGTTGAGCAAGTGTCCTTGTTGTATGGTGGAACAGCCTTTGGGTATATGCCCAGGAGTTGTATAGCTGGGTCTTCAGATATATATATTTCTAACTTTCTAATAAACCACCAAATTACAAAGTGACTGTATAAATTTTCATTCCCATAAGGAATGGAGGTGTATTACCCTTTCTCCACATCCTTCCCAGCATGTGTTGTCACTTGAGTTTTTATTTTAGCTATTATGATGGGTCTCAGCTGGAACATCAGTCATTTTAATTTTCATTTCCCTGATGGCTAAGGATTTTGAACATTTCTTTAAATGCATCTCAGCCATTAGATATTCCTCTGTCAAGAATTCTCTATTTAGATCTGTACCCCATTTTTAATTGGGTTATTTGGTTTGTTGATGTCTAGTTTCTTGAGTTCTTTATATATCTTTTTTTATATTAACCCTCTGTCAGATATGGAGTTGGTGAAGTCTTTTTCCATTCTGTAGACTACTGTTTTGTCCTTTTGGCAGTGATTTTTGCCTCTGGGAAAGCAGGTGTAGTCGTAGGCAGGAAACATGGAGGTCAGGGGATGGGGTGCAGACTTAGAGGCTGTTAGATGTGCTTTAAGGGGAGTCAGGCATGGAGCTTGGGGAGGAATCTACCTGGAGTGTCTGGAGCTGGCCACTATAGTATTTCTTTTATTCTTTCTTCCTTATCATAATTATAGATTTCATTATGAATGTTCTGTCATATTCAATATTTTGCTCTTTAAAGGGGATGTTTTTAATTCTTAAAAATTACTCTGTCTCTAAGGGTTCTTTTCATAATGAGCACTACTTCTTGGATGACACAATGTTCCATATTTCTCTAAGGGAATTGCCAGTGAATTTTTTAAAAAGACATTTTCTTACTTTATTTTTGTTTCATCCAAGATAAACTATGATCTCATCTCAGTTCATTTCTTTTTGTTTTTCCCCCAAAATACGTGTTAATCGTATACTACTTGAGTATAAGTTTAACAGAGGCTTAGATTACTTTAAGTAGAAGCTGGTGGGGCAGTGTTGTAATGGTGAAAGAGAGATTTTATACTTAACATGATGAAGTAGGTGGCATATATCCACAGCAGAGTTCTTATTATATGTGAAGCCATAAAGGAATCAAGTAAAGAAGCCAGGTTCATTTGATGAGCAATGAAGATTCAGTTCTAAAGACGAAGGGCCTTTTGTGAAGAAGGGAGCTGATTTCAGTAGTTCAGTTTCTACTTTTCTTTGGAAATTGTTATTCCAAAGAATATTCCAGAGATGTTGTTAGCTTGGTTCTAGACCAAATCCTCTCATCGCTCTCATTTTTCCTGCTCCCATCCTCACTTTGGGAAGGTCTGCCTGTTTGTGTAGCTTTTTTAATCATTATGTTTCAGAAGATTTCTAACTTCCACAATGATTCCTTCCCCTAGAAAATTCCTCCTGAAACCTGCTCAGGTTCATCCAAGGACTCATGCTAGCAGAGTACCACCCTTCCTTTGCTTCAAAAGGCCAACCATTCCTGATGTGCTCCCCATGAGTCATGATCCCTTGACAGCAGGCTCCACGTCTCCACGTGTGCACTCTCACTATTGTTAACTTACTTTTTAGTCAGTTTCCAAAAGTCTTTCCTTACCTTCCACTGCATACATAACTGAGACAGGTATTTCATTAGATCCCAGGAGTTAATTCCTCAATACAGTAGATAGTTCCTTAAACATCCTGCATAAAACATTATCTTGACTCAGGTCCACTGTGGGGATCGTGTTCATGAAAGCTGATGGAAGGAATTGAAACCTCCTCTTTGACAATAATAAAAACATTGACTCCTAAGGCAAGGCTTTGCCAAAGGATGTGTATTGATACAACTCACGGTTATGTACCTGGCAACCACCTAAACCTCAGGTGTTCACTACTGTGAATTAAAACAGAACTGTAACTTCTAATATATAGCAGAATGGCCAAGGTTCACATTTTTCTTGTACTTCTGCCACAGTGTAAAATCATATTAAGTGTAAAGGGAAATACATTCCTGTATTAAAAGCCAACAGGTGCTTAATCTTTGTAAATATGACTTACAATTGACACACAAGACTCTACAGCCCTCCCCCCCACACTCATACATTAGGAAATATGGAAGCCTTTATGCCTTATTCATGTTTATCAAAATGTTCTAAAACACACATACTTCTCAGAAAAATGTCCCCCAAAGACATCTCTTTGCATTGTATCTGTAGTATAAGATCACATAAGGCAGTTTAATTATTTTATGAGTGCTTTGAGACATTTTCAACTTCTCAGTCCTACATGGTAGATTTAATAACTTGTTTCTTTCAAAGCTTCATAGTAAGAGACTAAAAATTAACCAATAACACCCATCCCTTCAGAAAATTTAACCTCAGTGTTGGAAAAAGAGTAAACTTCTCTTTGTAGAATTTTGAGTCTACAAACTATGTCAGAATTTTTTTTTCTAGTTACTAACATAACATCAGCTTACATGCTTTCAATAGTCAAAGTTAAGTGGAAACTAGACCTAGACAAAATTTGCCTATAGTCTCAGCACTTGGGAGTCAGAGAAGGATCATGGCAAATTTGAGGTCAGCTTCTTTGATATATGAGCTCTGGGTTATCCAGAGCTATGCAATGAGACCCTGTCTCAGAAAACATGACATAAATAAGCAAATGAAAAGACAGAAACTAGAAGGAAAGTAGGTTATAATTCAAAAAGACTAACTTATGGCAATTTTCAAATGCTTCACATTTATTGGTATGTATTATATAATATTACATAATTATGGGAGAAGTTGATGCTGATTGATATTTTTTTCTGAGACAGCATTTTTTCTGTGCTGCTTACTGTCCTGGACTCACTTTGTAGGCCAGGGTAGCCTCAAACTTCCAGAGATCCACCTGCCTCTGCCTCCTTGAGTCTTGGGATTACAGAAATGTGCCACCACACCCAGCTTGCTGATTGATTGTTTTTTGTTTTTGTTGTTGTTAAGTGTCATTTAAAATAAATAGTATTAAGAAATTTCAGATATCTAGTATGCTTCAAAAATATGAGCTTTGCAAAAGAAAATAGAAGGGTGTTTTGTTTAACAAAACAGATCTAACCATCCTTTAAGATTGATCTCCTTCGATAGCAACTAATAACCTTTGTAATTTAAGATCCCTAAGACGATTCTTGAAATAAATGTCACGAATTAACTAGAAAGCTAAAACTTCTATTTCAGTACAGGTACATTGTATCACGTTTTATTTTCCTTTTACCCACAGAACCCAAAATAACTCGTCCACCTATTAATGTAAAAATAATAGAGGGATTGAAAGCAGTTCTACCATGCACTACAATGGGCAATCCCAAGCCATCCGTGTCCTGGATCAAGGGGGACAGTGCTCTCAGAGTAAGTGATTATTGTATTAAAATCTATGTATAAGACACCATTTTAAAAGGTTTACGTTTTATTGTGTGTGTGTGCGCGAGTAAACATGCAATGGCGGGGGGGGGGGTACCCATGGAGGCCAAAAGAGAGTATCTGGATCTGGAGTTGCTGATAGTGTGAGCCACCTAATGTGGGTGCTAGGAATCAACTCCAGTCCTCTACAAGAGCAAAAGGTACTCTTAATGGTTGAGCTCTCTGAACATCTGTTTACATACTAACAGACTTCTAGTGTATGTTATATATATTTATATATAATATAAATATATACATAAATGTTTATATTTTATAATATAAATACATATTTATATTATATATGTATTATATATTTATATTATATATGTATATCAATATATATGTGTGCATTAGCCAAACTTAAATTCTTCTATTCCTAATTATGCACACTCACTCTAGGCATTCCAGTAGGGACTGGCTTGGAGGCAGAAGCGATAGAAATCAGCAAAATTAGAGATAAAATGGGGGCAGAGCCAAAATAAAGCAAGGTTTGTTCTTCTTGATCAGTTGAATTATTGTTGTTGTTGTTGTTATTATTATTATTATTATTAGTAGTAGTAGTAGTAGTAGTAGTAGTAGTAGTAGTATTTTAACATTGATTGTTTAAGACCTTAGGGATAACAAAGCTGAACTAACACTCAAGTTTGAGAACTGACAATTTTGAGAAGAAAAGAAATGAGGATTGGAAGGAAGAAAATGGTAGAACACATGAGAAATTAGAGCACAGAGACTCTGAATGATGCATAGAGACAAACACATCTCAGTAACAAAGAGTTGGATTAAAGCTGTGTTGTTTGAAATGGAGAGATGGTTTCATGGGTCAGCAAGCTTGCTGTGTATGAGAGCCTGAGGTTGTACGCAACAACATAAATATGACCCTGTAACCCTCCCAAACCTGTGCTTTGGGAGGAGGAGATAGGAAGATTTGGGGTTTGCTTGCTGCCAGCTAACCTTACTCCAAGCTCAGTGAAGACCCTGTCTCAAAGGAATTAAGTGAAGAGTAATAGATCAGGACATCTTATGTCCTTCTCTTGCCACATACACACACACATGTGCACACACACACAGAGACACAAGATGCGCTATTCATTGGCTTAGCTTGTACTGCTTTTGTGTATTGTCCACAAGCTTACTAATAAATTGTTATTCTGCATGGCTTTGTCTCACCTAAATATAAGATGACAGACTCCATCCCCATCCTACCAAGTTCAGCACACTCCATGGGATACATAGTTGTCATGATAGGTCAAATAATTGAGACAAATTATAAATTTGATGAGCTTTAGCATCTATAATGGCAATACTTACACTCCCTGGCCTTTTGTTATAAGTCTTGGTGGATTTTCTACAATAAAAGTTAAAGGTGACTGGCTCTGTGTATGTTACTGAAGTTATAGTGAATTAAAAAAAGAGAAGAGAAATTCATGGAGATAACCTAGAACCCTGACAATGCAGCCACTTCTGATGAGAACTGATAGACTAAGATCAGAAAGAAGGAGAGGAGGACCTCCCCTATCAGTGGACTTGGGGAGGGGCATGCATGCAGAAAGGGGGAGAGGGTGGGACTGGGAGGGGAGGAGAGAGGGGCTTATGGGGGATACAAAATGAATAAAGTGTAATCAATAAAAGTTAAATAAAAAATTTAAAAAAGAGAAATGTCACATCTGAACTCCAAAAAGTAATTTTAAAATTCTTTTTAAAAATTCATTTATTTATTTTATTAATTACAGTTTATTCACTTTGCATCCCAGCTGTAGGCCCCTCCCTTGCTCCCTCCCAATCCCACTCTTCCTCCCTCATCTCCTCCCATGCCCCTCTCCAAGTTCACAGATAGGGAAAGTTCTCCTCCCCTTCCCTCTGACCCTAGTCTATCAGGTCTCATTAGGAGTGTCTGTATCATCTTCCTCTGTGCCTTGCTCCTTCCTCAAGGGAAGGTAACCAAAGAAAAATTCTTAAAGGATATGTATTCTCCTAAGGATAACCTAAGGATCTATGGTAAAGCAGAGCAACTGAAAGCAATGTTTTAAAGTTTTGCCTTGATTTATGTTTTATTTTGGGGGTTGAAATCAGGGCTGTGTATATGATAAGCATATTTTCTATCATTGAGCTATGCCTTCCCTCCAGCCCCAAAGTGCAGTGCTTTCAATTAAGCAGATGCAAGCATGACTTTTGGAAGTCGTGATTACTGTTGTGTTCTAATGAGATGAGAAAAAGAGAAAAAAAAATGTATGCAATCTCCTGAGGTCCTTGAGACAGTTAATTTAGATCATCTTGATGGTCTCAGTAGTATATGTTACTATGCATAGGCAGGACAGAGGATGGTATTTTGGGTGTTAGGGACAGTGATAAATCAATGAAATAAGGCAAATGTGTCTTTGACTGAGGCTGTTTTCAAACTCATGCTCCTGTCTTTTGGCAGGAAAATTCCCGAATTGCAGTTCTTGAATCTGGGAGTTTAAGGATCCATAATGTGCAAAAGGAAGATGCAGGACAGTACCGATGTGTGGCAAAAAACAGCCTGGGGACAGCTTATTCCAAGCTGGTGAAGCTGGAAGTTGAGGGTAAGAGGCAGCATGCATCAACATGGTGCGTTATGCCCAGAGGGTCATGCCTGGAAGGTTGAACTTTGGACTGAGAAAGACATGGTATAGGAAACTATGCAGAGAGGCAGAGAGCCATGGTATTAAAAATCATTTTCTATCTATTGCTCCAATTTTTGTTAAGTTTGACCATTGCAGCCAACAAAATTCATGAAAATGCTAAAACTATGACACCGTTTTCGTGCGTCTTGAACAATTCTCTTGTTTGTGTTTGGAGACAACTGGTTTTATCTTTTAATGTATTTGGATTGAATTCTAAAAATAGGAAGATTGAAAAAATTAATCTTTTTAAAATTATAGCTTCACAAAAGATGAGTAAATAAGATAATGAATGAAACATATAAAACATGGTCCTAATTCTGTAATTCATGTAGCAATTAATGCTTTGAACATAGTAATATGTTTTTTCATATTGAACATGAACATAGTAAATGAACATAGTAATGTTTTTTCATTACTTAGCTAATAATTACTGGAAAAAATCATCATTGAGAATTCAGAATACAAACAGATTTTAGTGTTTTATTCTTTTGCTCATCTGCTTCTTTACCTAAACTTTTTTTTTATCACATTTGGTTTAAAAATAAGAATTAGGATTCAGATGGGAGAAGAGGTAGGGAAGAACTAGGAGGAGTGAAAGGGGAAAGCACGATCAGAATATACAATGTGAGAAAAAAATATTTGCAGTAAGTGGGGAGAGAAAAGGAACTTTCATCACTTCTGTGCTAAGTGAGTGACATGGGTCCTTACCAAATCTTCCTTTTAGGAGCTGCAGATTCAACAGCTTTGACTTTTTTTCTTCTCTGTAAAATCGAGTTTAAGGAATTAGTAAGCTATTGATTACTAATTCAGCAGTCTGGCCTTGAATGTACTTCACAGAAGATGACTACAGGTTTTTCTGCATTTATTTTCCTCTTTTGACGATAAAATGTTGGAGTAGACATACAAGAAGAAACAGCAGTTAAAACAAGGAAGGTTTTGATGGATCCCAGATCTTTGTACCATCCCATTCTGCTTCAGCCAAAATCTATATTTCCCTGCAATTTCCCTCTATTGCTTACTCAGGCTTTTATTAAAGTTATTTTTATTGCCTGAGAAGACCTATGTCCCTTTTCTCACAGCTTAAATGACCTCTTTTTTCATATTTGTCTCTAGTTGAGGCAACATTTTTATGCTTTATTACACCAAGTGTTCATAAAATCTCCATTAGGAAATAGCAAATAATATATATTATATATATAATTTATAATATATACATATATAATTTATAACTTATACATATATAATTTATAATATATCTCAGATAAGAACATATATATAAGCATAATTCCTGATATAGTTGGTATAATTTAATACCTTTTAAGTTATCAATTCTATTTAAATATTAGAATACAACTCTGACATTTTTTCCCAATGAATTCTAAATAAATATACAACTACATTCAGAAACCTATTCAGACATGCTGAATACCTGCCTGGATTTGGGATTGCCTTGAATGCTATGTAGAATGAATGTTATTCAATTGTATAAAATTCCACAAAAGATTCCCGTATCAAACTCAAGCTTTTGGTCTTCCCCGATATTAAAACGCATTGCTTCAATCTGGCTTAGGGAAAGTCTCCACCAATATTAATTCACTGGAGCCGGTTACACAGTCTGCTCTTTCCTTGCCAGTTAGTTGTGAATCAAAATAATGGAATACTGCTTCCTTCTTCCTAACATTGAAATGATCATGCTTGTTGACTTGACTGTTAACATATGCTGGAGGTTTTATTAAAATTTGCTCTTGCTGGGAGCTCATGCTAATGCTTGAAGCTTCTCTAACAATTGGTAAGAAAATCATTTCAGCTCCTATGTTTATTCTATGTCTTTTACTTCTGATCAAAATACTCAATATATGTGACTTACTGTTGCTGGTCCACAATAAGCGTATGAGAAATGATATCTATCATGGTTTTTATTGCCATGAAGACATAAAATCCACAGTAAATCTGTTTTAGCTCAGGAAGTTCCAAAACGTTGATTTCTTTTTGCACAAAGATCTGGGTATATGCACAAGTTACAATTCAGATAGAACCTACTCAGTGAGGCGTCAGCTCAGACTACAACTCAAAATTCACGGAAACAAGATAGAGAAATGATTGAGAGGAGCCTCAAAGTACCTTCAAATGCCCGCTGGTCCTGAAGAGGTGAGGGCTGAAGGTAAGGCTGGACCATGTCCAGTTGGAACCATATTCAACATTTAGTAACTGCGTGTTAGTTATGGCCTGGCTCTTTTGAAGCACCACTCTATACTGCTGTTTGAGGCTGTTTTATGCTTACTTCAGATGGGCATGCCACTGGGAGCCTCTAGCCAAGGAAAAATATGCCAGGCATGTCACCACACTAGGTACAGTACAGTAAGTCCATTTTAGCTGCCATAACAAATATGAAAGAAACATCCTGTCACGTGGATGTAAAACTCTCTTTTTAAATTACCTTCAGGTTTCCAGGTCTCTAAAAGAACAAAGGGAGTCTCCCTGTATCAGATACTTTACTGTTCATTTGACAAAACACAATGACCAAGGAAACTTATAAAAGAAAGTGTTTAATTTGGCTTACAGTTTCAGAGGGCTAGAATCCATGATGATAAAGCAAAGGTATGACAACAGGAACAGTTGAAGGCTCACATCTTGATTTGTAAGCAGAGAAGGCACACTGGGAACAAAACTTCAAAGCCCAAAGGCCAGTGAGACATCTCCTCTAGCAAGGGCATACCTCTTAATCCTTTCCAAACAGTTCCATCAACTGGGCGGGCATGTACTCAAAGGTTCCTATGGGAACTTAGGAACCCATAGGTTCCTATGGAGGCCATTCTCATTCAAAACACTGAACTACCCTTTCTGTCTTCAAACATACAAAATTCCTGATGAAACTCAACCTGGTGTAGCATGTATGTCTTTTAAAAGGGATGGGATGACTAGAATGTTGAAATGTGCAATGGATGCTAAATGCTTTGCATGGAGTATCTTGTATACTTGTCACTCAGAGTGGCATTTGAAATAAGAAGCTCCTATACTGTGCCATTTTAGGAAATAAAAAAGTGAGAATGACTCACTTACACAGGATCACACAGATGGCAGAATCTAAGAAATTGAGACATTTTTCAATTCTGTCTCTTCTATTAAAGAATGAGAGAGTTCTTTGTGACATTATCTAGAGTAGCATCAGGATAGAAGAGAGAGAAGAAATCAGGTTCCCATATGCACAGAGAGAAAAAAGTGTGTGTTGGGAGGAGGGAGTTGTTCATATATCCCCTTGGCAAAAAGAGGTGAGCAATCAAAATAGGGAACAATTATAAATACTGACCATGTTAAAACATCATAAGAAGGAAATTTTGCTCATAGAGAGGAGGGGGAGCACAGACAAAGGAATGAGGTACTTTGGCACACACAAAGGTTGCATCAAGGGTTCAGGTGGAATTACAAACTTTATACAGAGGGAGACTACATGTCCTGTTTTTTCCAGGACAGTTCTGTTTCACACCTGTTGTCCAAGAATGATTATTAATAGAATCCTACCATTACTTCCTAAAGTATTGAGGTTTCCATGATACGTTATACATTATACAGCTGCTTTCCTTAAGGACAGAGAATTTTCTTCCTTGGAGTAAGAAGGGAAATAGGGACGTTTTCCGATATCAATCAGTTTATAAATCAAGCATAGTGAATTTAAGAAGGCTGTTTTCATGGTCTCTGTTTCCTTTAGGAAGTAGATGGTAGGTTATCCTCTGTAAGGAGGGCATGGTGGGGGCAGGGAAGGCAGGGGTAAGGAGAGTGGAAAGATTTTAAAATAGCTATGGGATGGAAAAGATGACTCAGAAGGAAATGTGGGATTGTGAAGCAACTTTAAGGCTTTAGCAGAGTACAGGGTCATGAATATGGAAGGAGAGGCATCCTCTGTACGGCCCAGGCACGCCCCTCCCCAACTACTTGAATTTCGATCTACTCTACAGATACACATTTAGTTTCTGTTATGTTTAAAGGCAAGACATGAGTACTGGAATCTTGCCAGAAAGGAGAATAGAGCAGAAGAGAATATTCCCCAAGAGGGTAAAGCAATGAATCCCAGAATCATTATACATGAAATTCAAGTAGCATAGCATCTAAACAATGAATCTAGGAGGGTTGAAACCTGGGGTTAAATCTTATAGCTCCAGCAATAGGTCAGATATGATAGTACCTTCCCACTATAAAGGCTTAGAAATTCAGGATTAGCTACACAACTCACAGGGATGAAATATAAGTATCTGGACACCAGAAATGATTAAAGATTGAGCAACTTTGTTAGTGGGCTCCTGAGTATGTTCTCTGTTGCTATGAGGCAATGGGTCATGTGCCCATTATGTCTTCCAGTTTTAAGATCTATAGAGAAGAGGAAAAAAGGTTTTGGACCCTATGAGAAGTAGAGGAAATCACTGAGACCTTTGTTTAAGGCTGAGAAGCACAGTGATGGCCAGGAAAATTCATGGGCACACACAGACATGGGGCATACACACACACACACATACACACACACACACAGACACAAACAGACATAGGCACACACACACAAAGACATGGGTGCACACACAGACATACACACACACACAGAGGCACACACAGACGTGGACACACACACACACACACACACACATATATGTAAAGACTTGTCTGTCTTTACCTGAATTCCAATTATGAGGGAATTAAAAAATCAGAAAAAATCAGGTGTCACACATGGTATATACTCACTTATAAGTGGATATTAGCCATATAATATGGGATAAACATACTAAAATCTATACTCCTCAAGAAGCTAAACAACAAAGAAGACCCCAGGAAAGATGCTCAATTCTCATTCAGAAGGACAAATGCATTAGACATCAGAAGCAGGAGAAGACAGGACAGGAGCCTACCACAGAGGGCTTCTGAAAGACTCTACT